TCTGACACCTTTGTACTGAGATGACATTGCCACGACTTCAGTTCAGTCCCACAAAGACATGTACACATGAAAAGTACCTGACTCGAAACAATGATAGCCCCTCCATTCCTACTGCCTGTCATCAAAGATGCATGGCCTTGGTAAATACAATGCATTAAGCATGTGCATTGTGCCAGAAGGTACCAGACTGGTTGTCTATTTGTGGTAAACCCATACAATAAAAGTATTCATGTGAGCCAACCTTTAATACATTTTCCCACAAAGTTCAACAGTTACTGGAGTTTCTGCCAAACAGCTCTCTGGTGTTTTAGAATTAGTTTTGACTGATTTTCCCTATTATGATAACCCATTAATACATATTTAATTCCTTGTTGTGACTCAAGCCTGTTTGGAAGTTCAATGCAAGTAATGTAGATTAAACAACCAGCAACAATTACAGTGTATATATAAGTCTCTGTTACTGTTAGTAATTAGTAATTGTATCATGATTACAGTACCTAGAGCTTGTGAAACTTTCTTGCAGCACGCACGCTCAGATAACACTTCCATTCACGTTACAAAATCGTGATAGCTTTGTTTCTAATGAATGAGCCTGATTGGCTAGCCTGCACTTGATGGACAGTCTCATACACTGTGAGCCAGCTTAATGTAGATATTAGAAAGATACTGCACTGAAAGGTATCTAATACATGGTCTCATCAGTCCATTAGAGTAGCTGGGGGACAGAGCTGAGACGATGCTAGTGTGATACTGCCAGATAATCAATTAATGAGTCGATACCAATATTCCTTGTATCCTTGTTATCTTTTCTCTAGCTAGACTGTTGCAGAGTGGATATAGATGAATGTACATGTAGTCCATCATAGTTGTATCTCCTCCATAAGTTATCCACTTCCTGAAGCCAAGACCTCTTCCTACTACCATCAAAATCCACATCCACATTCTCCCATGTGTATACAGGGCTTGAAATTCATGTAGGTGAATTGAGCTGTGCGGCATGCGCAGGTATATTTAATTTCTACCTGCACCTAACTTGCACCGGTCCATGTACTGGGTTTACATGTAGTGAATTTTTATTTGCTCCATTGGCAGTTACCAACTATGATTGAAGTATAAAAGAAATATCGGCAATGGTTTCTGAACAGTTTTTACTTTTTATTTTGATATGATCCACACTTTATAAATTTTGAGCAGTGCAGGTAAAATTTATCCGGTTCAGGTAATTTTCAATGTTGGATGTCTTTTGAGCCCTGCTATAGCATTTATTCCAATCCATTTCAAGTATTTCATTGACATCATAAATATGTAGAATTCCAGTATGTAGCCAGGAGAGTCTGATATTTTATACACAAAGTGGAGATGACATTCTTAAAATCTCTGGGCGGGCATACTCTGACTTACCCATCTTGCTTAAATTGCACCCGTGTATATCCTTGGGTACACTTTTGCCATACTGACTTATCAGCATATATATTGTAAGTGACAGCTTCATCCTATACAGGTCAGAAGGGGTCAGCTATATATATACATTTATGTAGGAAGAAATCCCACTGTTTCAAGTTAAGGGCCATTGGTATTTTAGTTGCCAGAGGGATATTTATGTGACTGTATGTCCAAAATGAACAAAATGTTTCCAAGGGTTCTTCTGTTTTGCAAGTTTGACTTACAGTTGAATTGATCGATAATTCCATTTACATTGTATACCATTGTTAATTTCTGGATCTTTAAAAACAACTAGAAAAAATTGTACGGTGCAGTACACTTTGACACAATTCAAAGTCCCAAAATAGTACAATAATATATTTGGATTTTTTGTGTGGATCTATGTACAATTTGCATAATTTTTTTAGTAATGAATATTTCATTATTTATCTATACTCACATTGGGAAACTCAGTCATGCATTTGTTGTGTATCACCCTGACCTACATGTACAGTAGCACCAGTACTGACATTAATTATGTCAGACTCATAGCTGGGCCACAACAATGTTCAATATGGGTGTTCTGGCCCGTGTGATAACTACAGTACCCATATCACATGGGGTTCTAGCAGTTATCACAGGGCTTCCAACTTTTCCATAGAATAATTCGAATGCGTAAAATGCATGCGCTGTGTGTGCTGTTTTCGAAAATTTGAATATCGTATTTGGATGTTAGAATTGATGTTGTTACAATTTTTGAGAGGGATACCAAGTTTTCTGAACTTTGGGCACACTTTGCAATGAAATTTGAGTGTATTTCCGCTCAGTTCCAGCCCTTTTGTGGGTCAGATCTACATCCAGCCTTTGGCACTGAGACAATCAGACCTATGGTCAGGCTGGTACCTGGGGTGATGCGTGATACAAGTTGTGTAGTATATAATTCTCTACACATCTCTGGTAAGGGTCAGCCATCTTGTAGAGTTTCTTTGAACATCAAGTCAGGTTGTTGGGTACCTGTACATGTATGTGTAATCATGTTATGTGTATGTGTAATCTGTCGGCTGAGAAAGAAATGCACAGTGTCAGCCTTTCAGCAGGAAACAAAGCTCTTACGCTGACTCCTGCTCCCTTTATTTATGTCCTGCACCTTGATGGCAAGATTGCCCTGACAGCGCTGGATACATTAGATGCTGTTTGTCCCCAGGCATGTCATCTCAGAGTCAGACGGCATCCCTCAACAGGCCCCAGTTTTCCTCCTAAGCTCTGCTGCGAGACCCCATTGTGCTCCACCTCTGCACAGACCTACGGGGACTTTCTCATGGATAATTGGGCCACTTCTATACGTACAGCATAATTGCCAATGTAATGTCCTTCAACTGCAGTCACCTCAAGTACCGTAATGAGGAGTTGGGAAGGCAATGAAGGTGGTCTTAGAATAAGCTCTATCCATTTTGTGGATATTGTAGAATATGGCAGACCCTGGCCCTGTACTAGTCCCAGCCTCCCCGTCTAATTCCAGTGATGCCCAGGTTCATTGTTACAGTACTGGACTACAGGTACAACGTAACATGTTACCTTTATCTGTATGTTCTTGTTCAGTACACATTACATGTACATGTATTTAAATTGTACATTTAACTTTTAAGTCATTGCACATATTTGCATGATTGTTATAAACCAGTCCTTTCAGTCATCATTTTGTGTTCGATTTAAGTTATGATGATCACAGTGCTTATTATATGTTTCTACATGTTTCTCAGAATCATCACTTAATTTTGCATGGAGGTTTCTGATTAGAACTGAAATTTCTTTACTTTAGGGGTCAGTTCTGGCATAAGCATTTAGGCAGGTAGGCAGGCATGTACATGTATGTATCATGCACATGCATGTCCACTTTGTACAGGAAACTCAGTCCCAAATGGCCTTGTTTGAGTTCAGAACCCCACTTTACATTTTTATTCACTAGTATTATAGTAGTAAAAAGTCTTACACAAGGCATTTGTATGCCAACCACCAGTGGATCAGACACTGATAGAGAATTATGGTGTACATGTATTTACTTGTATTTCTTCAGTTTATGAGGGAAAAGTTTCAACTTAAAGAATGCTTTTGGACTCCATGCCCTTAAAAAATATCCGTAACATTTCCATTATACCAAATGGGCACCGATAGGGTTATCAGTTCTCTTGTAAAATGCACCCTGCCAAATTCATTTTGAAACACTGTAGAAAATGGTTATTTCTGCATTAAGATGTATTTAGTGAATGGCTCTTTCTTTTCTGTGATACACACCTTTAGGCACAAACCGGTTCCAAAACCCATAAGCTTTGTCTTTGTGAATATCACAGGACTACTCTTTGTCCCATTAGTAACCAAGCTTATTCTCTCAAGTCTAGATCCTATCAAAGGTTCATTATTCATTGCATAAAATGCCAACACTTATATTGTGCAGTATATATTTTAGGCAAGTAAGGGAGTTATCAGAATATCCAGACTCAGGCTGCAGCCCAACTGATGATTACGGAAACGGATAAAGTTCAGAGCAGCCCATGGCAACATTGTTGCAGGGCTGGAATGCCACGGTATTGCTCCAGTGTTACCATGAGGACTGGTATCAGTAGTACTTGCACAGGTGGCCCATGCATGGCTGACTCCTGTTTGCAAGAGGGGGTCATGTTACCCATCATGCCCCAGGCAGTCACAGCTTGTGCAAATCTGACAGGTGTTTTTTACACTCTCTCCAGAGGATTTACAGTGGGGAAAACAAGTTTCACTTATAATGAAAAGATGGATGTATAAAGCACAAGGCAGGCCAGTTCAGAAGAAAAGGAAAAGGGAATGACAATGAGTAGGAAACAGGGGGCGTTTTAATCACATAAGGCATAACTAACTCAGTTAACGGACCAGTAAGATTATCTGGAAATCTCTGCACAGTTGAGTACATGTGATTGAAAAAAAAAAGATGTTTCAAATGAAAGTTGATAAATAAAAAAAATTCCTTCAACTGTTGACCTGGACATATATATAATTGTAATATTTTCCAAACCTCCCCCAGATGCTTCAGAGGCTTTACAAAAATGTACACTAGTATCATATGAACATCATACATCCTTGCATGTAACATGCTTACCAAAGTGTGATCAGGAAAGAAAGGTTTCCCATAGCTGACTTGATGTATTGCAGCATAAATAAGACACCTTTGATCCAGCCTTCAGAATGAAGGATGTTGTCCACAGTAGGTTGCTAGCCCAACCATAGGTACTCTTTGTATGCTTCTTGTCTGGTGGGTGTGCACATTGAAAAGGAGAATATTCCTCATAACTGTAGAGGAGTAGATGTATGAGGTACCTGCATGTACAGTTAAGGGAAAATCTGTGTATCTGCATCTATCAGGGCTTACAATCACACTATGGTAAGCATTCCTCAAAATATATGATATGTGCTTGATGTTATTGAAATAGATGTAAATTAAATGGGTAATGCTTGTACAAGCAATTATTCAATCAGATAGATACATATTGCTTTAGTATGGAATTCCATCATACTTAGCAGTGACATTTCTTCTTTTTGTTTTTCAGTCTCTTGCAGTCTCCGATGGAGGTAAGTTATCTTTAACTGAATTTACATTTAACTGATACATGTACATCGTAAAAGGATGTTTTCACACTTACGCTCAACCAAAGACAAAAAAAGACTTAGCTGTGTGTCAATGACTTCTCAATTACATGTAAATGGTTATTGCTCTTGTCTTGTAATCTTTTCATTCAGGCACCCTACTTGTGTTTTAAACATGGGATGTAAAACGAACGGACCGTTGCTTATCTCCACCACACACATGGACACTAGTACAGTTTCTCTGCGCCATATTGATATGGAACCTGCGGTAGTCTCATCCTTAAAATATCACCCCAAGACTCTTCAAACAGAGGAATTTTACTCATTCCTCAAGTACCTAATTTCTTGTTTTTACCACTCTTTCACATTACTTACTGAGATAATGCTGATCAGAATGTATGTACAAAATTGTAAATGTAATTCTAGGACCTCTAAAGCTCTATAAAAACATATCAACCAACCCCAGTAGATGGTGTATTTAGCTGGGTTTTATTACTCTATTCCGTTCTTGTGCTGAACCATCCAAAATCCTTTCTGCATCTGCACATTCTAAATTCAAGTGTTACACTGGCAAAATTTCTTGTCTATTTGTTTCCTCTTTAAAGATTGTATCTCATACCCACAGTACATCACAGTGCTTTGACTGCTATTTTATATAAATGCTATTAAATCTCTAAATATGCTGTTTAGAAAATGAATAATTGTTCAACTAGCTGAAATACATTGTAATATGCACTGATTCAGAAATTCTTTATCAACCTACCACACATGTCCTCGTCTTATACTACCGTCTTGACTAGGCAAACTGCCAAGGCTTCGTGCCCATGTACAATGTGGAACTCACAATTAAACACTATAAATAGTGAGTCTGGCTCTTAGCTAACAGCAGGAGGCTGTGTCTGACATTTTGCTGCGGATTACTATAATGACAGTAATAAAATAATGAAGCATTGCTGTTACTTGTTAGAGTATTGGGATTTCTGGATCTAGAAGCATTGGATTAAGAATGAACCTTGGTGAGTTTGCAGCATGGAATTTATTTGAAGTGCCATCTGGAAGGAATCTTAGTACTTGTTACAGCATGTACATGTATTCAATCAAAATGTTTCGTATGTAAGGTAGACACAGAGTTTCTTGGAAAACACTAATAATCCCTCCCTCCTCTTGGTGCAGAAGTGGCGCGTCCCCACGGTGCGTCGGGAAAGCTGCACCCCAGCAGCAGTGTCAGCAGCCTGGCCAGTAACACCAGCACACACAGCGTTCCTGAGGCACATGTAGCAGGGGCGGCCAGCGCCACCGCCACCGGACGTGTGGCCAGCTGGGCAGTCAGCTTTGACCGCTTGTTACACGACCCTGCAGGGCTGGCATGCTTTACTGTGAGTTTACAACAAAATTACTTGTTATAGAATCAAAACTGAAATGAACACTATGGAGAGATAAGAAGAGAAGCAGTTACTTACAGAAATTGATGCCAATAAACTACCTGTAGAAAGAAATAACATAACTTGATCCTTTTTTGTACAGAAATATCTGCTTAAATCAATATCAATAATTGGAAAAAAAAGAAACTTCAAAAGACATATAAAAAGCATATGTTACACAAACACACAGGATTGACTACAGCATGACTGTCCTTGGTGCTGAAATGGTAGTTACCTACATGTACCATACTTACCATATTTTTCATGCCTTTTTAATGTGTATTGATGGCACAACATAACATTAACTCACATCTTCATGAAATCCTTTAAGTTTGATTCTTGTTAATATTTTTGCTCTTATGTGCTGCACATGAAATGTTGTTTAAATCATTAAAAATACTTACTGAATTGTCTATAATTAATGCTTGTTTTTCTCATCATTTAGGAGTATGGCAGACAACATAAAGTGGCAAAAAGAGTTTGATTGCTAGCTAATTCACAAATAAATTTTACTTTTGTGAACTGGAAGAATTTTTTCCTTGCCTTACAGGAATTCCTGAAACAAGAATACAGCGAGGAAAACATCGTATTCTGGACTGAATGTGAGAAATTCAAAGCAATCACAGATCAGCAAGAGGTGTGTATGCCTAAGGTGTTACTTAAAAGGTAGTGATGGCAGGTTATATGTACATTGTGGTCTTGTAAATACAGCCAAAATATACATGCAGTCATGTATGTTATGTATGCAATGCCCAACAATTCCCAACCAGTACATAATTTATGATATGTAAAAAATTGTGAGAGCTAGGGAACTTTTGTAACTCCATGGAATAGCCATATAGCTCCTTTCAATACTGAAGGCCAAGTCCAGTTGTCCAGTAAACTCACTCACTTTATTACATTTCATCTTCTCTTCTGTAGTTACTGTATGTACTTCAATATGACGAATGAAGTCCTAAACTTTTTGCATGTACTTCAATGACAAGAAGCTGTTGTTTTTCCTAAACACCCATCAAATGAACCTGTTCAGTCAGGTTTGCTGCTGTGTTAGCGTCTGAAATTTCACACAGGCAGCCGACTATTGGCATCAGTTCAGGAAATGGAGACCTGTTCTCAGAAAAAAGGAAACACGATGCAGCACAAAGCTTACGCACACTGCCAAAGTCAAGTGTTTTTCTGGGAAGTTACAGAGAGTGAAGTGCTAGTTACTAGACATTCAAGTATAAGATGACGTGTGCTGCGTGCTTGTGAAATTTGCCATCTGCTTTAACTGTGGTGTTTTTTTACAGTTGTTATTTTCCTAATAAGTGCACGTGGTGGTGCAGGTGTTGTTTAGGAAACGGAGACCATACTACTCAGTCTGCTAATTGTTATTCCAGAAAATTACGCTGTGTGGAGTTTCTATTACGTACTTCACACAATGTCAAGTTTTGGCACTTTTTCTATAAGCTATAGAGTTGCTGCAATATAATACCCATGCACATGTATGAAGTAGTGTGTTATGGGAATGCAGACGGCTTTCACACTGTGCAAGGGACTTCTTTTCTCTTCATTTTACCTGAAGGTGGTAACAACAATCTCGTCTTTCCAGGTTCTGAAATTGATTAAGGCATTGTTGCAAATTTGAATGGGTGATTAATTATTATGCTCCACATGTAACTAGCTCTACATGCTTCATCATTCTTGAAATATGAATTATTATACTGAAATGTAATTAATCCTGCAGGCTTAAAGACAGCATTATACAATCCAACACATTCAACACTGCGTGGCAATATTAGCTTTCTGGCAAGACATCCCATCTTTCATTAATCCTTTGATCCCTAACATGTCTCCCTTGTGACCCCATAACCCCCCTCCCACATTATGCACTTCTGCTTGCCTATAGGCCAGACAAGATTTAACTCCCCGCTCTGCATCAGAAATCTGTTATCACCCTGTAAAGTACACGTACGTGTGAAGCCTGTTACTGCAGCCTCCTATCTTGTGCATTGAAGATAACCGCAGCTTTGCTGTGATCCTGGGAAAGGGTTTAGGGCAATAATGACTCGTGCAGGCTAGTCTTATCGCTGGTGCCTGGAGTTGAAGGGCACCATTAGGGTGCTGTATTCTAGGCTGTACCCAGGTAAACAGGTTCCTTTGATGCCCAAAAATGATGTGACACGTTTTGGCATTTCTTTTATGATGCTAAACTCTGCTGGTGCAAGGGTACCAGTGTCCCTGTGTTAACTTGAGATACATGTATGCGTCTGTCTTTAAAACCAATTCTGTGCCCCAAACGTGCCAGAAATATTATATGACAAATGAAGCCACCAAGGACACCAGCAGTCTGACTCTGAATGTACATTTGTATGTAGTAAGCTATAAGTCGATTATGTATAGTTGGCTCCTCTGATTCTTTTGCTGTGCAGTAGAAAACCTTTTTGGCTTGGTGAGGATTTGTCTGGCTTACCATGTGGTGTAGCTGCGAGACATGGAAGTGTAAGTGGCTTACTGGTGGGAATAATTCAAAACTTTGCTGTGAGAATAATTCAAAACTCTTGAGTCAAGGCTTTCAGTCACAGGCTTATCATGTGAAGAATAAATGCTATTACATGTATGTGATGAGTTCTTGATTGATATGAATTTAGAAATGGTGGCAAGGTGATCTTGTGGTTAGGGCTGTTGACTTTGAAGGTTGCGGGTTCAAATCCCTGGCAGGCCCCACTGTTGTGTCCTTGGGAAAGGCACTTCACACCTATTTCCCCACTTGGTGTACATAATGTTAGATAGGGCGTAAAGCATAAGTACCCTGTTTAAGGAGAGCCACACCTTGAACATGTTAAAGATCCCACCACACTTAACGAAAGAGAAGGGATCCGTCCTGTTACGAGTAGTTCAGACCTTACAGTCTGGTCTCAGGATGACATCTTGAAGAAGTGATAATCACCTGTTATGTCAAGTCTTTCCACAAATGCAGTAACTCTGTACAGTTGATAGATGAATTAATCCTAATTTCTGGATGTTGTTCAGATGGTGACCCAGGCACAGGTGATCTACAGCACACACATGTCCAGTAAGGCGTCCATGCCGGTGAACATCGACAGCCAGGCCAGGCAGATGGTGGACGAGATGCTGGGCTCTCCCGCACACGACATGTTCAACCTCGCACAGCAGCAGGTCAGAACTAGAGAATGATATAATTGTGTTCTTCTTTGATTTATTACAAAAATATTTCAACAGAAATATGCATTCTAGATCAAATGCAAAGGCTGTTTCAGGGCCAAGTGTATCTTTTTTTTTTTGCCCATCTTTTTTTTTGCACTCTACCATAAGATTAGTAGTCAACAGGGGTAGTGTGTGGGGGATGTCATCCATGAAATTGACTTCCTATGGCCCTAGCTAGATTAGGTAAGATATGAACACAGCAGGTAAATGACTTTCCACAGCAAGGTCAAGTTTGGCATGATTGTTCTGTGCTTTTACCTTTATCACTGCGATGGCTTCCTCTCCATTAACACCAGCCAATGGCCAATAGTGCGGAAGACTTGTCCTTGAAATCTTAGAGAAAGAACTGCCAAAGACCAAAGGTTGTCAAATGTCTGTAGGGTTAAGTGAAGCAGAGAGAATCCGTCTGAGCTTCCATTTACAGGGAGGAAACCTTTAGTGGTGATAGGCAGTCAGACAAAAGCCATATTCTTGGATACATTTTCCATTTTCAAATTACTCGAGCGTGATCAGAAGAATGTGTCTCTTTCCACACTCCACATCACAGCCTCCATGTGTAAAATGTGTCTTAATAATATAATATCAGTTTTCAGTTAAAGGAATTGGATGCAACAGTAGCAATTTATCTTTGAACATTTGCAATTTGTCTCTGAACATTAACCCAAATTTGGCTTACCCAAATTTTTGACGGACCAACTCTAGTCTTTATCAAGGGATGAGCAATCCACTTCTTCTTTGATTCACAGTATGCAGATAGAACATGACTTTGACTCAGTGAGCAGTGGTTGTAGAAAGTTTATAGTACCCCCCATCACTGTTGAGGGATGGTTATGTGGCACTGATGTACATGTACATGGCTTCAGGGAATGTCTCAATACATGTAATTAGACCATTCCTATCCAATAAACTCAAACCATCAATCAGGCCTTCTATCTTTCATCACTGTGCATCATTCTGTAATTTGAAATCTGTATCAGCATTGCCAGAGGATTACCATAATTCTAAAATCAGAATGTTTCATGTAAGAAACACTGACAATGGACATAATGTACATGTATGTAGAGTGCCAAACATGCCTTGCAAGGACAGAATTTTGACATTGACAGCCTGCCTCTGTGCCAAGCACTGAAATGTAACAAAGATGATGATGAGGAGGAGGAAACATGGTTTGTTGCTTTCTAGGTCATTGAAAGATTGATGAAGAACGTGGAATTTGTTGGATTATCAACCATTAGAGTTACAGGGTTGTGAATTGACAGAGTCTTCTTAATCATTTTGCTTGTGGGTTGCCCAAGAAGTAAACATAAATGGTATGATTGATCAGTACATGTATGTAAGCCTTTGGGTAGAAGGTTAAGCATATAATTCAGTCAAGAAAGAAAATATTCACGCATAATGGTTGTTAGTTTCTACTTCAAAATTTTACCTGAATACAAAATATGTACAACATTGTTTTTATAGTATGATTCTATAAATTGTAGAGAGAAGAATTTTACCATGAATCTGGATAGATACCACTGTAGAGATGTATTTGTCATGTAATCCTGATGCTTAGTTGTTTTTTTTTTTTTTCAGATATTCCAGTTGATGAAATTCGATAGCTACTCCCGCTTCCTAAAGTCACCTTTGTACCAAGACTGCATGTTGTGTGATGTGGAGGGACGACCTTTGCCCTATGACCTGGCGTCCAACAGTGGGTCAGACGCTGATGATACAGCGAGCAAGTCCAGCAAGGAGAGCCGAGGCCAGAAGGTTGGTAGAGTAATCTACATGATGTAATCTTACGGAATTGTTGTACAATAAAATGAAAACAATACACAAATTTGGTAGAATGCACAATGCTACATACATGTACCTGTGTCATTCCTGTTAGCTGTACTCAGTTGCTGTTTTGCTAAAAGTTCTGTTTTCCAATGTTTAGTTATGGAGGAAGGTGCGTGAAAATGCTGTTGATCTGACTGGGGATGGCACTGAGAAGAAACGCAGGTCTTTACTACCGTGGGCAAGAGGTAGGAAGTACATTATGCTGGTGTGAAGCTTGAATGTCGTCATAGTTCATGTGCTATGTATTCTCAATTTTTTTTCACATTATTCATGAAATATATTCTTCAATTTCAATGTTTTGGCTGTTTATGAAGCTCCTTGAGCACAATTTAAAGATTGTTAATAAGCATTGAAAGCAGAAAGCTTTTTTATGTTAAGTTTCTTAGATTCATGTACAAATAGAGAATGAATCAAGTACAAGCTTGCAATATTTGATATGATTGGTACCATCCACAGGTAAGCACTCTAAGAGAAACATGAAGTTCCAACCTGATGTGGACAGGAGAAGCAGTAAAGGTGGATCATCAGGTGAGTCTTTCTGGGAAACTTTGGAACGTCTTTTCTTAAGAAAAACTCTCCCCACATAATGAATGAAAGATCCTGATATCACCAGTCATGGCGGTACCTGAAAATGACTGGAATAAATCATTTTAATAATGCGGCAATAAAAGATGACTTGGAGCTAAGTGAACCGTATGCCAGTTCTGATGGACCATAATGGAACACTTCTTTCTGCTCTGTTACCATATACGGTATGATTGACAGTTAAACGTCCCAGAGCCAGTCCACAGGGGACGTGATTGGCGGGTAATCTCAACCGACTAATTTTAGCCTAAGTCTGGCCGACCAATCTTCTCCATTAGTTAATGGCATAAATGCCCCTGACATTGAGCAAAAAGTGCCATAAGACATACAATCACTGTAGGGTTTTAATGGATTTCACATAATACATGTAATGTTACATTGTACATAGCCATTATTGTACAATAGTGTAGTGAAGAAGCTAGTGAAACTGAAAGAGGCATGATTTGGCTTTCTTGGAAGCTAATGGCTTTTTAACAGGAAAATGTTTGCTAGCTATTCTTGAAATGCATGTCCTGTTTTTCCTTGTATTCTACAATGTATTATTAGCAGTTGTATTCTACAATGTACTATTATTAGCAGTTGTATTCTACAATATATTATTAGCAGTTGTATTCTACAATGTATTATTAGCAGTTGTATTCTACAATGTACTATTATTAGCAGTTGTATTCTACAATATATTATTAGCAGTTGTATTCTACAATGTATTATTAGCAGGCTATTGTAAGTGTTTTGTTAACCACAGTATGAGCTAATGTGTGGAACTGTCCCCAGGTTCTGTACAGGTCCTAGACGGACACCTGAGTGACAACAGTAGCAGTCGTCGCAGCTCCCTCGCAAGTACAGACTTAGATGTCCTGCACCAGAAGGCCATGTCTGCTGAGGTGATTTCCATCACTGTAATAACAGTATCACACCCAAGTCAGCTTTTAATACTGTAACAGTCCTCCATGTGCACTAATGAATACATCATATTAGCTAGTTTATGCCATAAACACATTAGCCTGGTTACCAAACCTATTATAGCTCCTGAGTCCTACATCCTCTCCGCTAATTTGCGGAGAGGATGTAGGACTCGGGAGCTATAATAGGTTTGGTAACCAGGCTATAAACACATTTCATTGGTTTATGCCATAAATACATCCATAGTTGTACCAAGTTCAAGCTTCGTTCCTACACAAGAAGGGAACCCGCCATAAATTTTCGGTAGATCTCGTCAACCTTTGTCAGACTCTCCGGAAGTCGGAAGCGTGATGACGTCAAGGGTGCATCAAATGTGGCAGGAAGATGGAATCCACCACCGTCACAGTTCAGAGAGGGTTGATGGGCCCTGATGTACTTTGCCTCCTTCACACCCCTCACAAAGTAGTCCTTCTCCGTGTCCAGTATACGTACCTTATCCAGTGTAACAGTGTAGCCCAGAGACTCAATATTTATGCGTTGTGAAACTTCAGACATAGTGGAACTGGGGCGCCTGTGCTCCAAAAATATATTGGTCACAGAGGAGGACTACTTTGTGGGGGGTATGAAGGAGGCAATGGCCCATCAA